CACAGAAGCTAGGCACCCTCTGCAGAAAGTCCTCACATGTGGAATTTCCCCATCCAACTTCCCTCACAGCATCAGTCAAGACCCACAGCATTTTGCAGGACATGCAAGACTCAGCACATTGCTGAGGAATGCAGAATATGAAATCAGCATCCCTTCCCTCTCCCCGTGACTCACAGCTGCTTCGTAATAGGATAGGGGTACAGCACCCATTCAGAGATAAATAAGTCATTTGTAGGAGTCTGATGGGGTAAATACAGGGATAAAGGGGGCTTGGGGCAGACAGGGCACTAGTGCATAAGCCCCTTACATGTGACAGCCTGGGATTTTGGTCATGAGAGAAAAGAAATGTTGTGGCCCTTCAGCCTGGCATTTGGTGAAGGTTTGCCCACAGTACCAGAAGCAGCAAGTTTTCCACACCTGGAAACCTAAACTTGGGAAAGACCCAGGGATGCCAGGAGAGAGAGAAAGACTGGAGGCCAGGGCCAGGTGAAGTAGCAAAATTGTGTAAGGGGATCCAAACCTTGAAGAGCTCTAGCAGGACCCTAGAACACCCAGACCTGGGATAGCAGCTCATGCCTAGGGCAAAGTGCAGGTGTTAGAACAACATGGAGGAGCAGAGGGGCTGTGCTTGACTGCCACCCACTGCCAGAGGGAAGCTTATACAACATCACAAATCTTTGGCTTTTAGAGAAAGCAGGTGAAGGCAGTGCTAGCTCTGAGTGCAAGGAAGGTGCCAACTTTTCAGAGGCAGTACAATCAGGCAGCAGCTGTTTCATGAGCTATCACTCCCCCACCTCTGTGCAGTCACTGTGGCATCCCAGCACACAGAAGCCAATGGAAACTGAGCCTCCCCTAAACTGGGAAGGCAAGAGCAGTAACTGCCTTCAAGTCCAGGAGACTCAGTCCTGCTACAAGGTAACTATGCAGGCTTCTCACTAGGACATGCTGTAATCAGCCACCATAGCTTTGCCCCACACCCTGCCCCCACAGGCACACTCCCTATAAAAGGGCCATACCTCTGAATGTTCACGTTCTCCTCCAGCATGGCAGCTCTTTCCTCTGTGGCCAGGAAGAGGTACCCCGAAGGGTTAAACTGGATATCAATGGGTGGCTCGTTCATGACTCCCAGATGTTCCTGGGAACAGAGTGCCAGTGAGTACTTAGGCAGCTGCTTTCCTCAGGTGTAAGCAGAGAGAAAAGCACATGGGATTTCACCCCCAGGGACTCTGCCCACTGGAATCATGTAAAAAGGGGGCTGAAAAGAACCACAAGAAACTACTAAGCCCAAACCCCTGCACCAAGGAAGGATCCAGTTTACCTGGCCCATCCCCAACTGATGCTTCTGCAGGGGTCTCCCCTCCCAGTTACTAAATGCCACCTGGGTGAACTACCTTCCTCCGCTGGAAGCCTCCTGTGGAGCCCCCTCAATGCAGTTCCTACATCTGCTGCAGGAGTCGCTGCAGAGGTCTGAGAGAACCTCATGCAGGGATGAAGAGCATCTCCTGTGTACTCCCAGCCCATATCAGCTGGGCCAAGGAGAGAAACTAGGCCAGAGTGAGAGCTTCCTGCATGGGCGCATTGAATGTGACACAGTTACTACTTGGGCAGTATTTCCAAGATACAAATTGCTAAAGAATGTGAAGAGGTGAGCAACAGCAGTCAGACCCACAAGTGGTTACAACCTGAGAGGTAACAGCTACCTCACAGATGCACGTACACGGACCAAGCTACACCTGTTGCTACAGGGACAAGGCAGTTCACTGGCAGTCCTAGCCCTCCTCGTTCCAGCCCTGCTCTCTGACATTGAGCTTGCAAACCCTAAGGCTCTGGCACCTCCCTCCAAACCTGACATACGTTGATCGTGCGCAGGAAGTATGCCGAGTAGCGGGACATCTGGATGTTTTCTGGCAAGGAGAATTGTTGCCGAATGCCTCCCACTGAAAGCACTGTAGAAGCTCGGGAGTACTGCAGGGAGACAGGGGAGGGGAGAGGCTGTCAGGGCACCAGGGACAAGAAATGATTCACCGTGAGCTGTAGACAGAATTTTCAGTACCTATTCTTGTGGCTCTGATAGTGGTGAAAGGCACATGGAGATGGACAATTGCAGAAACAGAGCAGAATTCTACCCAAGGATCAGCAGCACAGGCAGCTGCCCTGAAAGTATGACCCACAGTCACCCATTAGGAAGCTTTTTCTCTAACCCCCTATAGCTGTCAGAGGGGAAAGATACATCCTTGACCATAAAAGGTCAAGAGATCTTTTATCCCTGTGCTTGTCCTCAAACTCCCAAGAGAGAGGCAAAGGGACAACTGCTCTGTAGGAACTGGAAAAGTCACAGACCTTTCAGATGACAACCATCAGAGTCCCACTCCTGATCACAAAGCTGCCTCTTCCTGTGCCAATGCCCCTTCTCCCTATCCCTCACTAAGTCCCCTTTTAGTAATGACAGCTATCCCCAAGTCCACAGATAACACATTTGTGGGGGGGTTTAGCATGCATGGGAGGGTGACCCAAGAAGAGCAGGGATGTATTACTTCTTCAAAGGTAGCTAAACCACTCACACAAGGAAAGTATCATTAATTGGGAGAGAAACATCCTGGTGAGATACAAGACTGGAGTACAGGAGCTCCTGCATCGCACAACACTAAGACACCAGCCATGTTAAGTTCAATGCATGGCTCAGGTACGTTTGGGTTCAACCTGATTGTTAAAACATGGTCTACAACCTCCATACCCCAACCACCTCTCCATCAATCAGTCCTTGCAGCCTCAGGTACCCTTTGTGACCATACTTTCCACTGCTCTGAATGCTCTGGCTGCTAAGAGCCCTCCTCCCCACACAACACCCAGATAAAAGGGAAATCCTTTCCACTTCCTTTTGCTCAAGCCATTGCTGTGTGAACTCCCTTCTTCAGGGACTCTGGCCTTCTACCCATGATGAAATGGCTCTTTTCTGGGCAAGGTCTGCCTTGTTCTCTGGTGCAGTTACTCCAGGGGTGGGCAAAATGTAACCCGTGGGCAGATTCAGCCTGCCAAGATTTGATTCAACCTGCAGGCAGTCAACCACCAATTCACTGGATTTGGCTCACACCACGCAGTGCTGGGTGGGCAGGTGGGGCTGTTTCAGCCGCACCGGGTGGGACTGCTTCTGCCCAGCAGCATCAGCTCTTCACACGGCAGCATCAACTGCAAACCCAGGTGGGGGCTTCTGTTGCAGCAGGCAGGCAGTGACATCAGCTGCCAATGCTGCCTGCAGGTTCAGGATCCCTGATGCAGAACCTGCCGGCAGCATCCACTATGTGCTACCAAGCACACCAGAGCCCCAAACTGGAACCCGTCAGCGGTGGACCCAGGCAAGAGCTTCTGCTGCACCAGGTGGGCAGCGACATCAGCTGTGGACACCGCTGCAGGTTCTGCGCTGAGTTCTGGAACCTGTTGGCTGCACCCAGAGCGGACGGTGCCGCCTGCCCGCTACGGCAGAAGGCCCTATCTGGGTCCACAGCTGGTGAACTACAGCACTGGCCAGGTTTTGGAGGGGAGGGGAGAAGAATGTGGTCACCAAAATTCATTAAGTGCCCTCCAGTCAAAAGAACTGCCCACCCCTGAGTTACTCTCATTTTTATTGGTGCACATCTGTACTACGCAGGCACTGTGGCGGGGGATTCTGTAACTTGGCCAGGGCATCTGAAGTTCAGCCCAGCATCTGCATCTGTCCTAAATGAAGCCTGTAGGATACAAGACTTGTCCAGAGCCCAGGTCTCAACTGCAGCATCCCTAGGAGGCAACTTACTGTTGGGTCCCGCTCAACCACCAGCACTCGCAGGGCATTTTTTCTAGGCTGCAGTGCCTTCAACCAGTAGGCGACGGACCAGCCCATCACCCCTCCCCCAACAATGACCACCTCTGCCTGCACAGGAGGGCGTTTTTCATCAAAGAAGGGGTTGTCGAAGAGAGTTGTGATGTTTTCTTTTAACTGGCTCTGGAAGTTTGCCAACGACTTCTGCAGGTCTGCAAGGGGAGAGGAGATTGCCAGTTGGATTGATGGGGTGGAACAGTTTGGGCCACCTCCTACAGAAGCCAGAACAACCGCGGGTCCCGAGAAACCCCTCCGGCGGTACGGCCGCTGCGGGCAGGCAGCGAGCGCGGTTTGCTGAGGATGTCTGGAAAAGCTCGATCCGCATGTCACTGCTCTGCTGTGGCCGCGGAGATGCGCGCTCAGACCCCGCAGCCAGCCTCCCTTCTCCACCAGGCCTCTGCCGCCGGACACCTGCAGGAGCTCGGCCGGCAACCAGAGAAGGAGCAGCTGCCTCCAGCTCGGCACAAGCAGCGGAGTGCGACGGCGGCAGGCGGCCGAGCGGAGCGCAGAGGGCTCGCCCGTGCTCCAGCCCCCCCAACAACGCCCGGCGCAGCGCGGGAGCCGCCCCAGCCCCCAGCTCAGGTCCAAGGCAGCGGCGCTCGCCCCTCCCGGCCTGGGGCAGCCCGAAACCTGGGGCTCGAGGGGTGGGGTGGGGTGGGGTCGGCTCCCCCGGCCCCGGCAAGGCCCCGTGCTGCCCTGGCG